GAACTATTTCATTCTTAGCCAGTTTACAAACTATGGGCAAATATTTAGCTTATGACACTGAACGTGGACAAGTCTGAAAAAGACATCTGTTTGGTCAAGAAGATCCGGGTGAGAATATTTGACAGTCAAACCTTTCCTCACCGGGAGAGAGCTAGAGACAGATGGGATATTCAAATTCCCACAGGCGACGGCAGGCCTCCGTTGTTGAGGCCTTGGCCGGTGGCAAGCGCTCAAGGTTAGAAATCGCAAGTCGACCTTGCCAGAAGCTGGGGATGTCGGGAGGCTGCACGGCGGCGGTGCCAGCACCCGCGTGCCGGGCATCTCGGGAAAGTCCTCCCGGCGCCGGGCGGCAAAGCGGGACGAGATGCCTGGGAACGCCTTTGAGCATTGCACAAGAGCCCGGGAATTGCCACGCTGAATAAAAGTCGTGGTCTCAATGATGCTAGGAGGCTCATTATTTTCTAATCACCTAGCCGAGGATCACGACAGCGCCCAGCACTGGGGCATCCCAAGTGTGTGCAGCAGACCGGAGGAGGAGGCAATTATGAAATAATTGGCCACTAGAAGAAGCTCCTTCCTTCCCCCAGCAGTTGCCTCACACTCGGGCATCAAAGTTTTTCTTTTTTTTTTTTCCTTTCCCCTTGTGAAAAAAGGAGGAATCTTGTCTGAATCCTGTCAAGCAAAACTCTAAATGTTTGCATTTTCCATATGATGCCTAATCCTATTTGGAATGCTTCTGAACATTTGGCCTTGATTACATCTTGGAGCAATGAACTTCACAGGTCATTGTGTGTTGAATAAAAAGTATTTCTTTTTGTCAGGTTCACTGAATGTCCCCTTGTTCTTTAATTATAAGGAAGGATGAATAGGAGAGCTAGATTTACCTTTTCTATGCTATCTATTATTCTACGTACCTCTATTATGTCTCCTCTTATTCATCTCCTTTCTAAACACCACCACCACAATCTGTTCAATCTCTCTTCACAGGAAAATCTTTCCATGCTTGCCATCATCTTTGGTGCTTGCCGCTGAATTCCTTCCAATTTTACTAAACTTTTTGGAGATAGGAAAACCAAAACAACACGGAGCTCCAGGTAAGGATAAATACATACACATACATATATACACGCACACACACACATACACGTACATATATATGGAATACACTGATTGGCATTCCATCAGTTTTGGTGTCCTTTCTCATGTTCTTTTTCAATTCAAAGGGCTTCTTTTTTTGTTTTGTTTTGGGTTTTTCTTAATGATTCTTGCGCACTGAAGAGAAATTTCTATGCGACTCTCTAGCAGAGGCACATGCTTTCTTCCTGAATTGTTTGGAGCCCAATATGTATATGGTTAATTGAAATTCTTTCTTCTAATCTGCACTGCCTTGCCCTTAGACTGTGGGATGAGAAGGGGATCAAGCCTAGTCCTCCTACAACGCCACATGGCAGTGAACTGGCCGCGGATCTGTCATGTCCCTTTCTCTTTCCACATATTTTCCTCCAGTCTTAATTAACCTAAATAGTTTGAACCATCTGAAAATACTGCCAGATAACTCATTGTTCCCTTTTTCCATTCCACATATGAGTAAGCAACGTTATTCCTAGAATTACATTTTAAAGCATCAGAATTACCGCCCTTTAATCACGCTGAAAACCGAACATCTAATCCCACTCTGCACATATGTACCTTCACTTTCTCATCTAGAACTGCCGTTTCTCCCTTCGCGTAGGGCAGCTACTTTTCCATTAACTTCTTCTGAGGGGCTTTGTTTAAGACTTCTATAGATACAAATGCCTTTCATTAGCCGCATCCCCTTCACTTATTGTTTCGCCAACATATTTAAGAGATTAATAGATGGGAGAGACAGGATTTTCCTTTGCAAGAAAGAAAGTAACTGCGAAATACTTCCTTTCCAAAGTGCACGGCGTTTGTTATGAAGACACGAACAGTGTGTATGTGTATATATATATATATGCATATATATACAGCACGGCAAAACCTGAAATTCCAACAGCGAACTGCAGGCCTGATGCCTCCCGTCACGGGGCCGTGCTGCCGCGAGGCACGA